GCCGAATCGCAAAATCCGCACGAAGGTACTCCCGCAAATCTGCCGCGAGGCGCGGTAGACGAGGAAATAGAAAATATGCGACAATCCATCCGCCAAATGGATCGCAATATAGCGGAGGCAGATCGCACGCCGCCTCCCGAGAGAAACCGCGAAGAAAGAGGAGATTATACACAGATCATTCACATTCTAAATTAAATATGCGCGGAAATTAATTCGTTAAACATACGAGTAACGCGACTAGAAAGCGCGGACGCACAATTACCCTGTCATACAGATAATCACAGGGAAAACGATAACGATGCGTTTGAACCAACATACGGGCAAACGAGACGCGATATCAGAAATCGACGAAGCGTCGCATCGAATTATCCGCCGTTAAAGGAAACAAGAATAATGATCCCCGAGTTTGACGGAACATCGCGATATAAACTGCAAGAATTTTTAAACGCGTGCAAATACGTTGTTCAGAACATAAATCCTGCGGACGAAGAATCGTTAATTCAAACAATCTTATATACAAAATTAAAAGGGAAAGCGATGCAGGATTTTGAGACGTGCGATATACAAACGTTCGACGAATTAAAGCAGCAACTTGAAACTTGTTACCAGTCTAAACAAAGCGTTAATAAACTTTCAAATCGGATTACGTGACGAATTAAAGGTATTCGTACGCGTACAACAATATACGACAATATCGCTTCAAGAAGCGATAACGGGCGCGAGCGCCGAAGAAAAACTTATCGGACCGACAATGACAAGAATAAGCAACTATCCGAATAAAAAAAAATACGAATACAGATTCGAAATTCGACTCCGCAATGTTTTAAATGTGGAAAAAACGGACATTACGGACGCGATTGTCGAAATAGTCGATACGCACTTCCTAAACAGGAAAAATCCACGCGGATAAATGCAATAAATAAATACTGCAAGCATTGTCAAAAAACCGGACACATTCGCGACGAATGCTGGAGTTTGAACGGTAAACCGAAAACTGATACAAATAAAATAAAAGATGATAACCAGAAAAAATGCGAAGAAAATACACACGACCGAAAGAATCTTTGACAACAAACGCGAGATTCCGAGTCCGACGGTAACAACAGCGAAGACAATAAAAGCGAATCTAAAAGGAAACAACCGCGACCTGCGTCCGAATATTGCGTTACGCATATTAAAGATATGCCGCACACACAGAAGAAAACAGATTTATTGTTAGTAACACTACCCATGCGACAAGCAAAGGATGAAAAAATACGGATGTTGTACGATTCAGGATCGACCATCTCGTTAATAAAATTAAAACAATTAAAGGGCGACACCCTTTCATCCTCATATATGAGGATGAAATCGCGCTCACCGGCTAAACCGGACATAAAGTACACACAATAGGAAAAATGTACGCCACAATTAAAGTAGATGGACATAAAATAGAACATGCATTTTACGTAGTAAAAGATGACATTCCGATCGAATACGAAGGGATTCTAGGGATTGATTTCTTCCGACAACACTCGGTATCCTGCGACTTCAAACAAAACCAATTAAAAATAGGAAATGCCGTGCTAAAATTCCATTCATTTAATAAAATAATTCTAAAACCGCGCAGTGAAACCATTGTAAAAGCAGCAACCAATCAAAATCGGATAGGAATAGTACGAGCAGAAGAAACAGCTCCAGGAATCTGTATCGGAAATTGCTTAGTAGAATCAAAAGGACGTTGAACAGCTTGTACAAACGCCTAATCATGCACCAATATGGATTTACGATTTATCAATTGAGACTGTTAAAATACACAATGCGAGTATTATGAAACTTACGTTTCGCTTGTACATGAAACCGTCAACTATATTTTTTTTATTCGAACTCGAATTCCGACAACACTCGGTATCCTGCGACTTCAAACAAAACCAATTAAAAATAGGAAATGCCGTGCTAAAATTCCATTCATTTAATAAAATAATTCTAAAGCCGCGCAGTGAAACCATTGTAAAAGCAGCAACCAATCAAAATCGGATAGGAATAGTACGAGCAGAAGAAGCAGCTCCAGGAGTCTATATCGGAAATTGCTTACAAGGAAAGGTCGCAGCTGACTTCACCGATTTTGATCTCCTTTTTTGTGGTGAATCTTAATTGAATATAGTTAAGCCCTGTAAGAGCTTTTCGTCCAATGCGCCTTGTAAATAGTATTTTTTATACTTGAAATTTGGATGAATTCGAGAAATTTTAATGTAAGTTGTAAGACATAAAGAAAGACACGTTATCAAACAGTGCCGTATGGCGCAGGAAGTAAACGCGAGAACAGTAATAGTGAGAACCAAGGTTCGAAACCTATATATGCTGTTAACATTTTTTTTACTTTTTTTTTAAATTATTTTATATGTACATGTAATATAAATGAAATATTTTTACAGAGAAATGTTAATACTTTTATTTTTAAAGATTTTTATATATTTTCTAAAATTTGATTGAATATTGTAATTATGTTAGAATACACGCGTTTCATAAAGACAACCATTCAAATTCTCTACCTGCCGTTATACAATAAGGACAAAGCGAAGGTTAGGGAGGTCTAGGGGAGAAGTGGGGGTTCTAACAATAAGGACTCTGACGGTTAGAAAACTAGTCTGAACCAGTCTTGTTCTGTAAACGAAAGCGGCCAGACGCAAGATATTTTTTACTCTACAATTATTTGAATATGGCAGCAAAATCAGTAATTATTGGTGAGCAACCATCGACAAGCAGAGAACATGAAGAAATCGTGGAAAAAAATAAATATGCATTCATGCAATCCTACGAACAACAGGATATTACAAATGGTTTGCAAGTTTGTTCTCAAATTTTGGAAAAGTTGCGAATTATCAAAGGACCAGCGAGTGAATCAGTATCATGTAAAGTATCAGTTTTAGGAGAAAGATTTGCAAGAGTATCATAACCCGACCGATTTCTTAATATTAAAAGATAAAACAAGTAAAGTAGAACAGAAAAGATTGAGAAAGAGCTGATTAAAGCAAAGCATAGCTCAGTAATATAGCTCATTAATATCGCTCGCTACTCGCTCGCTCATATCAACAGTATCGATATACCGTACGTATCGCGCCCGACTATTATAATCGCAACTAAGTGAAAGTGTACAAGAATCTGTGAAATATATCAATTTATGAATAAAACGTTCGGGAGTGTCTTATTTCGAGCATGGATCCTAATCCTTTGGGCGTATAAATCCCTAAAGACCTCTTCCTTAGCGGCTAGAGGCACAACATTAATTGGTGGCAGCGGTGGGATACGCCAGCTCTAACAAGATCGACACCGGCAAAGGTCCACAACCACGAGGAAGAAAAATTCCGT